GGCGATGGCTTGGGCTTCGATTATGGCGATCATTGTTTGCTACTGCTGCTGTTGACCTAAGGCTTGCCGATAACCGTATTTCTCATCTCCGAAACCAGCATCATCAGCAGACTCCGCCTCATCATCACCGCCATCACCATCACCATCATCATTATTTGTTGTCATCATCGTTAGCATCATCATCAACTTCTGAATATTCATCATCATCATCCTCATCAGGCTCATCATCAGCATATTCCTCCTCATCATCATCATCATCAATAGCATCATCATCAATATCAGCAGCAGCATCATCATCACCATCGGGCCTGTGACACGGAGTGCGGTGCAAGGGAAGGGGGGAGGAAGGGAGGATCGCGGAGGGTCACGGTTGTCAAGGCGGGTTCTCGGGGTTCAATGGGTTCCAGAAAGTTTTGAGAAAGATCGGAGAGGCGCAGGAGGAGGGAGGAGAAGGGGGGGGGGGGTAGGATGAGGGAGGCGGAGGATCAGGTGGCGTCAAAGGGAGAAGGATCAAGAGGAGGTGACAGCTCGGCTCGCGAGGAGGAGCATCAAGAGGATCAAGAGAAGAAGGTTCACGGCGAGTGTGCTCGCTGGTCACGCGACAGCTCCGTCTTGGACTCCTTCCGCCCTCCGTCCGCACAGCTCTGTGAATTTGCAAGCTTCAGGGTCATACATTACGAGGTGGGCTCAGACGAAAACACAGGTCTCCCTACTGGCACGTCTGTTGGTGCCATTTTGGCTGATCGTGCCCGCGCGTTGACTTACATCCTTGGTGGGCCGCCTGCTTGGCTGAGCGTGCCCGCGAGTTCCTAGCGGGCGCAGAGCAGCTCGGTCTGGAGGGGCTGCAGCGACAGGCAGAGAGTACAGGCGAGGCGCCTTACACCTATCCAGAAGGCCGTTAAGCTTGGTACCGCTCGGCGTGTGCATTTTTCTTGGTCGGGCCAGCATCTTGGAGCATCTTGATAATCTTGGATCATCTTGAAAAGTCTGGACCATGTGTGTATCAGGATAATCTTGGAGCGTCTTGGACCACCTTGAGAAATACACGCGGACGACACCAACCAATGCGCAGATAAGGGACGTCTGAGTGATGGCAAGTCTTGATTCCCACATCGCAGGCGATCTGAATACAGCAAGCGGATTTTAATATTGACTGAACCATTTGTGAAGCTTTTGCTTTGTAAAGTTGCGACCGTGTTCGAAGGCTAGTCTTCAACGTCTGCCTTCCTGCGGTTCCCCTAACCCCCAAAACCCAAACAAAAGAAGGGGCGTGGTCGAGGAATGAAAGCTGGGACCATTTAGGGGTTGCGCGCCTCGTGGAGAGTGCGGCCGTATCTCACATCTGTCTGCTGCCGTCAGCAACGCACACGGCTTCCCAGAGCCCTTGTTTGAGCGGCATCGCACGGGTCTTGTGAGAGTTTGAGGGCCCTTGCCTTTACTTTGACTTACCTCCCACTCCTTCCTTCCTCTTTCTCCGCTCCCTCCCCTCACCTGCCTGCTCCCAGGGGGTGCTCACACCACCGCCTTTCCCCCCGTCCTCCCCCCTTCCCACTCCTCACCCCGGCTTCCCTCATACCTCCCCCCCTCACCTCCACAGTCCTGTTCGATTCTGAGCCCTGGGCATGCACTGAACAGACATGTCCTGTTCGGTTCCTTCCTTGGGTTCGTTTACTAAACGGCTTCGCTTGTCGGGTGCTTGTTGTGAGGGTGGTGCTTCTGCTGTCTACCTCGCCCCCACCTGCATCCCACCCACACGTTGGCCCCCGCCGCCTGCTGCAGGGCTGCCGGGGACCGCGGGAGCTCGCCGCGGGAGCTCGCCGCCGCGGACGGGCGCGCGGGGGAGCTGGCTAGATGTCGCGGTGGGGCCGCCGGACAAGCGGACGCCGTCAGGCGAGAAGGAGGGGGGGCATGGGGGGAGGCGAGGAGGGAGCACCTGCTCCCTTCTCGAGTGCTCTTCCTCCCTTCCTCCTTCCCTCCTCCCCCGTCGTCCTACCTCCCCTCCCTCCCTCCCCTCCCCTCCTCCTCCGCCCCTGCCTGCTTTTCACCGTGTCTTTGCCAGGGCAGAAAGGGGGGTGACTCCTGTAGCTGTTCGGCTCACGGTTTGAGTCTCGGAGCCCGCTTTGCACAGTAAGATTCGCCTCACATCGATGTACATTTTTATGCGGGGTGTCATTTTCATCTTCCTTGGCATCGGTCGGACGTGTGTATTTTTTTTCGGCGAGGACCCTGGAGGAGCATCCTGGACCATCGAGCAACACAAAACACACGCACGAAACCAAACAATGCACAGGAAATGGACGTCCGAGCGACGGCAAGCTTCCTATTTCCGCATTTTTGGTTATCACTACTAGTTGGTAGCGGAGCAGGTTCGCCCGTGCTCCAACTCCACGGCCCTCGTGTCCTGCCTCGCCTCGATGGCCATGGCTCCCTCCCTCCGTTGCTCCACATCGCGTCGCCCGCGGGCGACGTCACTCAAGGGTACGTCAGGGCAGGGCCAGCCCATCCGCATGAACATTACGTCGTGCCGCTCTACGTGCCGCCCTGCATCCGCCCTCAAAACCATCGGCCTCGTGCACTTTTTCCGCTCACTACGGCAGGTGACGTCACTCCAGTGTCCGTCCGGGCCATCCGCCCATCCGCCAGGACCAGTGGCCGAGAATCGTCAAGGACGACTTCGCCAAGATCTGCAAGGACCGTTTTGTGGCCCATTCCAGACATGCTCGGACTGTGTCCAGGCAGCTCGCGGACACCAAACTGTCAGTGCCCCCCCCCCCGCCCGCCGGGGTAGCCCCAGGTGTTCGACAATTGGTCGACGCAACGATGCCATCTGTGGTGCCAGAGGAATGTCCCGAGTTGTTTAGGATTGTCTCGAGAGCCCCGGGAGAAACAAACTGAGCAGATGCATCCTGCGACTGCGTCGCCGGTTCCGAGCGGAGATGCAGTAGGGAGCATGGGAATTGTGTTTTCAAACACCAGAGGTAACGCATTGGAGGGCATGACGACCGAGACGCCATCACTCCGAGGCACCGCGCCTCGGGACCCGACTCTTCGCTTCACCAAATAAATCCCCGCCAGCCGGGCATGACGGGATGGCGATGCGCGCTGCCCTAGACGATCGCGCAATACGCGGTGCGCAGCACAGTGGCCACACGACGTACGACGAGCATTCTCGTGATTGTGTCGCGGACTGTTCCGAGCACCGTAAGCATTGCAGTGTCGCGACAGAAGCAGACGCCCAATTCGCTGGTGAGGAGGAACACATTTGGCAAGCGTCTTCGGCGACTCATGCAACGTCGCTCGAGGATCACCAGCCTCCAGCACCTCCGCGACATGTGGAAGGGGGCCACACTATGGATGGAAGGCCACCGGAGTAGGCTTGGACGCAGTAGGTGGACGCAGGATGTGGCAGGACGCAGGAGGTGGCAGCGGCAACATGCGTCACATCTGCACCTGCGGGCCCGAGCACCAAGCTCGCCTGCCCTTCCAGACGTGGTTTCGAGAAGTGATGATCTGCTCTCTGGCGAACTCAGAGTGGCCTCACCAAGTTTCGCCAGGCGGCCTACGTCTCGTCGCCCCTTGCCAGCATGGCGCGCGAGTGCGCGGACGAATGGCTGCTGGCCGTCTTGGTCTAGGGAGGGCCAAACAACGGCAGCCCAGCGCCCCCGATGATCTTCCTAATGCGCAGCATGGCCGAACGATGGGACCAGCTGGGCGAGCAGGAGCGCATCTCGGCAGCATCGGCTCTGATGAACTTCGTCCGGTTGTCCCAGGAGCGCATCGATAACTTCCTGGCGAGGTTCGACATCCTCCGCAACCGGGTGCAAAGAGCTGGTCAACTCATGATCGGCTACGAGGGGCTCAGCTTCCGTCTGCTGCGCGCCGCTGGCGCGTCGAACACTCCACTCGCCATGCTCCTACAGCGCTGCGACGTGGCCTGCCCTGCGAACGCTCAGCAGTTCACCCGCGTGACGGGCCAGCTGAGACGCTTAATTTGGGCGCGTGATGGAGGGGTCGCCAGGCGACCTCGTCTCGGCGGCCCACTCGGCCCAGCGGCGCGCGTTCCTCGCGGGTGCCCGCGCAGTGGCGAGGCCGGGGCAGTATGGGCCGTGCTGCGCTGGGGTCGGCGCCGATTTCCTTGCGCCGGCTGGGAGCACGGCACGTCTAGCTCAGGGGCATGCCCGGCAGCGGAGATCGACTCAGGCACCGGCGCCGACGCCGCCGGCTCATTCGGCGAGGAGAGAGCTCCCGACGACCCCGAGTTACGCGACGGCCCTGCGGATAACCGCAGCGCGGACCGCATCTAGGCACGCGAGCGCGCCGAAGCACGCTGGCGCAGTTTCAACGGCCGCGGGCCCGCGCGCCGCGTCTGGAGGGTCACCGGGTTCAACGGCAGGGGCAAAGGAAAGAGAGGGCGCTTCCCTAGCCACCCTGTCCGAGAACCACCCGCGGGAGACCAGCGCGGGCTTCGGGGGGGGGGCAGAGGCAAGGGGAGAGGGGATGTCAGGACCGCGGGCTCTGACGGGGTGCGTCTCGAATGCCACGAGTGCGACTCCGAGGGGCGCCGCGTGCGCGACTGCCCCGGCGCCGCCGACAGGGCCGCGCTCCCTTGCTCGGCGCCTACGCCTCAACGCCACCGTCGGCGCTATCATCCTCGATCACCGCTAGCTCTTCTGGGACAGCAAGGGCCGCCAGGGCCGACTGGGCAGCGGCCCGTGCCGGGGGCGCGCGCGGTCTGGATGACCAGGGACACCTCCGGGAATCCTCGGCCTGTGGCCAGGGGCGTCGGGAGCGACGATCCGCTGCGCTGCGCTGACCCTTGGAACGGCGGACAGCCGCCAGCAGCTCTGGCACCGCGGCCACCTGCGCAAGTGGCTGCTCCGAGCTCTTCGTCGGGCGGCTCGCGGCAACTTATGTTGGCCAAAACCGTTGGTCAGCTTGGATTGGGCCATCGCCGTCATCTTCGCCCTCACCGCACGAGGCCGAAGTTCAGGGGCGGCCTAACCGACCCCTGGCAAACCATCCCATTCCGCGACGCCCCCCTCGCCTCGCGGCCGGGGGGGGCTCGGAAGGCCAGGGTGACGTCGCGGAAGAGGATGGCTTGAAACGGGTCGGTTAGGCCGCGCCCGAGTATTACGACGACTACGTCGTGAGATGGCCGATTTCACGGGCCGTGCACAAGCCTCTGCAGCACCGACGGGTCCGGTGACTGCGTCACAGGGTAGCCCTGCAGCATGCTGCAGCGGTGGAAGCAGCGATTGAAGCACCACCGGCCGCGCCAGCTTCAGGAGCACCACCGTGCCAGCAGCGCCAGCCTCAGCGGCACCACCACCAACAACCACCACCAACAACACCGCGGTGGTTGACACAAGTGGTGGATTCCCATTGGGACAGACCCATGGGCGCGAGTGGATAGGCTACCTCAACGCACGTGTCGCCGCGCCCGCAACCCAGTCTGCCGACGTGCAGTACTGAGCTGGGCTTACACGCTTTCAGTCTCAGCCCTCGGCAGTAGCGCGCCATATGGATCGAGCTCCACGTAGCCACCGCAACCCGCACTGGCAGCTCCTTCGCCGCCAGCGCCGGAGACTCCCCATGACCTTGCTCCGCTCAATCAGAACAGCCCGTCGACGTGAGCCAACCGCCCGGGAGAGTGGCCATGTGGTTCGCCGGCCGCGATACCCCCCATCCATCTTCGTCACTATTATCATCCTTCAGTCGGGTCTGATTAATAATTCGGCCCTGCAGAGCCAAATTGCTTTTATCATTGTGACCTGGTGTCTCTCGTGCCCAGGGACTTCGTCACGTCTTGAGCAAAGCGCTGCCCTCGGAAGAGGCTTGGGGTTTCTCGGGTACCCTCGGCAATCTGTCCTGGCTGAGCTCTTTCCGTAGATGGATGAAAAACGTTGTTCCTTCACTCCAACCTCCACCCTCCCTCCCCAAGTTCAATGCGGGTCCCAGGCCTACGGAGGCGCAAGAGTGAGAGGACAATAAATGTGGGCCCCCCAGGGCTTCCGCGAGGCCCAACCCAACTTTGAATCTGGGCGGGAGGGCGGGGATAAACACGGGGTCCAACGTTGGACCGGCCCTCCTCCCACACTCCTCCTCATCCTTCCGCCCTCGGCCCAGGTGAGCTCCAGCAGCGCGACAGCAGGACGCCATCGTTGCTTCTGGTGGGGCCGCCCGAGTCAGAGCCTGTCGCGGTCGAGCCGGCCGAGCCCCCCGCGGACGAGGTCGACACGAGGCCGATATGGCATCCCGACGTCATCCGCGAGAAGTTGGAGCGGGAGGATTGGGCCGGACACTTTGCTGTTGGATGCGTTGCCGCCTCTGGCGCCGAGAGGCGCCAGGAACACTTGGTGCACACTCTTTGCCATTCCCCTCCCCACACCATTTGCCATTCCCCCCCCCTTTTCGCCCACCTGCCTTGAGAGGAGGCGGAGCAAGGCGCGGCGTTGGCACTTGAGGGCGAGGGGCTGCGGCAGGTGCCGGCGCTGTTGCTGGCGGAGGAGCGCCCTCCCACGGAGCAGGACCGGGTGGGCCCAAATCGGGAGGGTGTTCCTGGCCCAGGATGCCCCCCAGAGTTTGGCGAGGAGGGGCCCCAGGGCACCCATCACGAGGCCCAGAGGGCCCCAGGGCTTCTGCGAGGTGGCGCAAAATCATGGGGGCACCTTGGGCCAGGAGCACCTTTGGTGACCCCCAGGCCCAGACCCGCGACGTCATGTTTTTGTTGTAGCGCCGACCCCGAAAGGTCCCGACCCATCTCCCAGGAACGGACTTTCATCCCGAGTCGATTATGACGGCCCCGAGGTCGGGCAAGGGACCCCCCGATGTCGAATGCAGCGAAAACCCTCCCGTCGTGATTTTTTCATGACCCGAGGGGGTCTTAGGAGGCGGGGCAACCCAGAACGCCAAGAGTCAGGAGGGAAAGAAACACACAGACACAATTAATCGTCGATTTCCTGGACAATATGGGAAAATATGGGAAGTGGTGGGGAGGACAAAAACCCAGAAAACATGGGAAAGTATGGGGAATATGATAATTTGTGTGTATTTGTTGATGTGTCCTGGGGCCCCTTGAGTTTTAGGAGGCGGGGCAACCCAGAACGCCAGGAGGGGGCCTCGTCCTCGTGGGATCGGCGGGCTGGCCGCTAGCCCTCGGCGCAGGCGCGCCAGAGGGCTGGCGGAGGGCCTGCGGAGGGCCGTCTGCGGGAGACCGAGCGATCGGGCGGCGGCGTCGACCGAGAAGCGGCGGGAGCTCCGCGGGAGCCTGCGGGAGCAGGAGGAGTCGAGCAGGGAGGGGGCGGGACGAAAGGGGGGGTTGGGAAAGGGGGGGGTACGAAATTTGCTGCATGCAGCTGGTTTCGGCCTCACCGAGGGGCCCATTCCTCGATACATGGCCGCCTCCGGCGCCGGGAAAAGCAGCTACGTGACCTGATTTTCACCCCCCCCCTTTGCTATCCCCCCCTTTCGCCCGACCCGAAGGGAGGGGGCGGGGATGTGGTGCGACGCTCCGAGGCGGAAATTTCTCCATATCCACCGCCTGGAGGGTCAGTTCTCGGAGCCTCGGCAGGCGGTGGATATATGGACAGATTCGGGCCCCTGGGTGCCGACATATAATTATCCATATCCACCGCCCGCTGGGGCACCAGGACGTCGGTTCCCAGGCGGTGGATGTGGATAAATCCCTGCCTCGCAGACGCGAGGATTTGGGAGATGGGTTGGGTCGGCGACTTCTTCAGCTGCCTTGCAAGCCGAAGCCGCCTCTGTCGCCTCAGGGGTCGAGGAGGCACCGCACTTGCTGCCTGGGACCACTCGTGCCCAGACTGCCTGACGCGTCGTGTCTTCGAGGCCCAACAGCTGGCCTTGGAACAAACTGAAGTCGAGTAGGGGACCGACTACATAATTGAGTTACCCAAGCACTGTTTTGTTCGTCAAGTCTACGACAGATATGTGGCATGCTCAGTAGATCTACGAATACGTAGTAGGCGCATGCTTCGCAGATTCGGCAAGCAAGCATTATTGGGGGAAAGCGATGCTGCAGTCGAGCTCCTGGTCGGAGAAGGCGCCTCGCAGGCTGGAGCAGGCTCGTCCCCGCAGAGCTTCTCGAGGACGAGTGGGGAGGTGGCGCCGCACTGCGCGCCTGGACACAGCGCGCGCGCGGGCGGTTGGGCGCAGCTGCGTCGCATCGGCGGAGTGTTCGCTCCGCGATGGGTGGCGCCTCGACGCAGAGGAGGGCGGAGCCAGCCGCGAGCTGCACACGATGACATCCTGTGCGGTGCCTCAGGGAAGCGGGGGGCCAGACCATCCTGCGACCCCACGCGTCCTGCTTCTTCGAGCTTCGAGCCGTTGGCGATTGGGTCTTTCGGACGCAGCCATCCTCCTCTTCAGGGTCGCTTGATCCTGGGGGAGGGGGGGTGATCAAAACAAAGCAGCTGTAAAGGTAACAAAGGGGGAAGCGAGCCGACAAGCCTCCCCAGGGGCGGGGTCGCTAGGTCCCCCAGCGCCCTGGGGAGCAGGGGGGAGGAGGGGGGAACGAAGAAACGGCAGCGACATGGAAAGCGACGAACCTGCAGAGGGAGGGGGAGGGGTAGGGTAAATGGGGCGTTGAGCTGTGGGCTGGGCCCAGGCCGAGTGTGCAGCTGTGGCAGCAGCTCTCGCCAAGAAGGGGCTGGCGCAAGGGCCTGGTCCCTGCCGTTAAGAAGCCCCTATCAGCCCTACTCCCAGTCAAACCAAGGGATCCCTCGCCCCCCGAAGCAGGCGCGGGGTTCCCAGGTAGGGGCTGGAAGCCGGAATGGGGGGTTCCACCTTGCGCGGGGAGGTTTGCGCCATCCTGCGGCGGCGGCCGCCGTAGGTGAAGTTCCCTCCCCCACCCTGATGATCCGCACCCACTCCATAGTGCGAGCGGCAGCTTGGAAGGTTGCACGATGAAAGGAAAGAGGTTGGGTGAGAAAATGCTGGCAGGCGGCAACGTGGCTGAGCGAGGGCTAGTTTGATGTTTTGTGCGCTGCGGCCGCCCTGGCCCTAGCCAGAGGGGCCCGCCCCCGATCCGCGCCCACTCCAGCGTGTTTGAACGGCGGCTTGAAAGGTTGCGCGCTGAAAAGATGGAGGTTGGGTGAGAGAATGCTGGCACGCAGCTGTGCGGCAGTGCGAGGGCTTTTATGATGCAGGAGGAGGAAGGAGGGGGTAGTTACCGGGCCATGATTTCTTAGCCCCACCATCCCACCCCCCCAGTTCGGGAAATGACTCTCGAAGCCCGCAAGGAAACAGCCTATATCCCTATCTAAAGGGGGGTTAATCCGCCAGTGGAGCCAAGGCCATGCCAGTCGGGACGGAGATTGGCTAAACAACATGAACGTTGGCGTGCGGCAGATTCGCGCAGCGTTGACGCGGCGGCCACTTCAGAGCGGAGGCGTTCGAGGTTGAACACCGGTTCTGGCCTGAAATCGGACGACATCGAACGATCTGCACTATTGATAAGACGTGATCGTTCAAGGGTGGCCAATCTGGGCTGTCTCCGAAAGTAACCCAGAGTTTCCATTTTTGTAGAGTTGGCCAGACAGGAACGAGGCGACCGGTGTCGATGGCGGACGGCAGTTCCTGCCCTCATGTACGTCTGCGACGGTCCATTCAGCGGCGAGCGTTGCCCGCTCGTCGGCAGGCCCTGCCCATTTCGTGCAACGCCTCTCGTCGGGTGTCGCCCCTGCCGATGCTGCCCCCAGACCTTCGGGCGTGTCAGCAGGAGATGCAGCGCGTCGAGGGCCACAGGTGGAAGTTCCACGGGGCTGCCGAGTTCGCGCAGGAGAGCCAGGGCTTCTGCAGCTTCGTCGGATGCCTGCTGGACCTGCAGGAGCGCGTCCAGCTGGACGAGGAGGGCCCTGCCATGGAGGCGAAATTGGCGCTCGCCTGCAAGACGTTCGTGCGCGGCCAGTGCATAGGGCATCGCTCGGGCGACATGTACCACCTCCTCGCGCACTTCCTGAGCAATGCGCCCATCTTCGACCAGTGGCAGAGCTTCTTGACCACCATGCTGCAGAGCGAGCGGGCCAACGAGGAGAGCTTCTTCACCGCCCACGTGGAGCAGGTGTGGAGCCGCTTCACCAGGTTTCGCTCGGTCCTGGAGAGCATATTCGACGTACTAGACGAGAGCTATGTGTGGCAGCACAGGTTCCCGACAGTCAGCAGCCTCGTGAACGATCACATGAAGAGGCGGTGCTTCTCCTCCCAGGGCATGCTCCGCAACGAAGCGCTGACTGGGCTGACGCTGCGGCCGGATGAGACGCTGAGGGACATCAGGCACACCTTCGGCTTCGGATGAGGCCGCGGTGTCCTGCTGCGCCGCCTCGGTTTCACCCCGCAGCTGTCTGCCGCACCTCCTCGTCGCCGTCGGTCGCCCTATGGCGCCCCGCCCACTTGGGGCGCCGGGCCCCCCTCCCTGCGGACCTCCGTCGTCCTCCTTTCTCAGCACGTGCCCCCCGGAGTTCTCTATGGCCCTTCCCCGTGGGAACAACCCCGGGTCTCGCCCCGGGTCGTGCGTGGACGCCCCCGCGGGCCCCAGAGGCGGCCCGCGGAGCCCCGGTGCGCGAACGGGGAGCGCCGGTTTGTGTAAGGCTGCGGCTTGCGCACGGGCAGCCCGCCTCAGCTGGCCTTCACAGGCTCCCGAGTATCGGGGGAGCGTAAGACTCGGGTAAGCCGGAACTCGGGTTTGCCGACGTTTTTTGACGAGCGCGTCTTGGATCTTGACGGTCCAGTTTTCGTGGGATGCTTGCAGTGGGAGCTCGCGTCAAGTTTCAGATGGCGCCTCGTCATTTTTATGATGGCCCCGGCGGGCCAACCCGAGTCTCCCGTACCCGAGTCTTACGTCTCCACGTCCAGGGTCTCAACACCCCAGGGGCGCCGCCGGAGGCGGCGCCAGGGTGCTGAGACCGCCCCGGACTGCTCGGGGGGGCCCGTCGAGGCCAGCTGAGACCACCCGGGGGGGCTGTCTGTGCGCAGCCCGCCAGCAGTGCGGTTGGAGGCCTCGCGGTCCCACGCTGCCCCGGCGTCCCGCGTGCACGAGGGCCCCGGGCGAGCCCCGGCCGGACGTGTGCGGGGGCTGCCCTTGGTATCCTTCGCGGGCCCTGCCCCGCCCAGCGGCTCGAGCGAACGAACGCGGAGCACGGGCGCGGCAGGAAGAATCATGGTCATTGTCCTCATCACCCTCTTCCTCCACTTTCCCGTCCCACTCATCGTTGCCGTCCTCCTCCTCCCACCCTCCCCCTCCCCCTCTCCTCCTCCTCCTCCTCCTCCTCCTCCTCCTCCTCCTCCTCCTCTTCCTCCTCCTTCCCCCCCTTCCTTCTCCCCCCCCTCCTTCTCGTCGTCTTCGTCTTCCTCGGTGTCCACCTTCTCGCCCTCATCGTCCTCCTCCCCTGTGTCCTCCTCCTCGTCCTCGTCGTTTACCTCTCTCCGTCATAATCCTTAGATCGTTTGCGTCCTCTCTGCCTCCTCTTCCGCATCTCAATTATCATACCTCCTCGTCTTTTCCTCCGCCTTCTCTTCCTCGTCTTTCTCGTTGCCATCTTCCCACTACCTGTGGGCCTCCCTCCCACGCCTCCCACCCTCGCCTCGTCGTCCTCTGCATTCCCCTCGTGGGCCGCAGATGCGGCTTGGCCACGAGCGTCAGCAACGAAACGCTACCTTCACAGCATGAGCCTCGGCAAGAGAAGGATCGAGGATCGAGGAGGAGGAGGAGAATGAGTACGACGAGGAGGAGGAGGAGGAGGAGGAGGAGGAGGAGGAGGAGGAGGAGGAGGAGGAGGGGGAGGAGCAGGAGGAGGAGGAGGAGGAGGAGGAGGGGGATGGGGAGGGGGAGGAGGAGTGGGATGGGGATGAGAATGAGGGAGAGCAAGAGGGAGGGCAAGCAAGGCACGAAAGGTATGAGGAGGAGGACACGATGATGAGGAGGAGAACGGGATGAGACGGAGAAAAGGGAGGAGAAGGAGAATAAGGAAAAACAAGGAGTGATGAGGGGAAGGATGACGCTGTCCTCATAGCGGGTGCCCAGGCAAGAGGAGCAGCATGGGAAGGCGGCGTGGGACGGGGAGGGCTTAGGAGGATTAGGAGGTGGGGTGAGAGCTGGAAGTAGAAGAGAGGCGGATGGATTTGGAGGGGGGACAGAGGTGATGAAGGAAGCGCAGGAGGGGGAGGCGTGGGAGGAGCCCGGCCACGCTGCCCTCAACGCCGGGTTCCTCTGCCATCGCAGGAGGGAGGACACCAGGGGGAGGCGATAGGAGGAGGTGAAAGGATGAGGGGAGAGGAGGAGGCGAGAGGAGGAGGAGGTGGAGGAGGAGGAGGAGGAGGAGGAGGAGGAGCAGGAGAAGAGGAGGAAGAGGAGGGAGGAGCAGGAGGAGGAGGAGGAGGAGGAGGAGGAGGGAGAGGAGGAGGGAGAGGATGGAGAAGCGGAGGGGGAGGAGGAGGCGGGTGAGGAGGAGGGGAGGACGGGCCTCCCGTCACGGAAGGGGGGGAAGGAGGAGAAGAGGAGGAGGAGGAGGAGAGGAGGAGGGAGGGAGGGGGAGTGAGGGGGAGGGGGGCTACTCTGACGAGGAGGGTGGGGGCGAGGCGAGGCCTAACCTCACAGCGGGTGCCTGCACAAGTCTCGAGGGATGTGGGGGGCCTCTTTGTGACTTCACGATGAAGCGAACGGTCGCCCACCATGTCGTGGAAATGATTGGGCAACTGCGTTACCAGGGGAGGAGTGAGGGGGATGAACATGATGACGAGGGAGAAGTGGATGATGGGGAGGAGGAGGAGGAGGAGGAGGAGGAGGAGGAGGAGGAGGAGAGAGGAAGAGGAGGAGGAGGAGGAGGAGGAGGATGAGGAGGAGGAGGGGGAGGAGGGGGAGGAGGGGAGGAGGAGGACGAGCAACCCAACCAGAAACCTTGAGAAGTCCCTGAGCCCCGCCCGCACAACGTGAATCGGACGGATCCCCCATTAGAGGTATTATGTTGTATGCAATGCAATGCAAAGTGGTGTCCAGCGCCACAATTCCGAATAGGCCGTGATCCCATCACACTGTATGGGATGGGATGGCATGGCGTACCATTGCCTGACACACCATGTCTTATGTCAGCGATGATGTTTGTATAGCAGCGGGTTGCACAGCGTTGACTTGCATACTTCAGCATGCAGTAGCACGGTATAGCATTGTATGGCCGTGCGCGGCATGGTTTTGCATTAGACGACCAAACACAGACAGCACAACGTCTGGCACGATTAAGCCCGTCACCCACCATGAATCTTTCTGGCTGCTTTCCTCACTCCCTGGACCCAATCCGCGCGAGCCCGTACTGCTGTCGAATTTCAGTTTTTACGCATAGGGTTTCAAATATTTATTGATCTGAGCGTTTTTGAACAGCCGACCCAAAATGACGACGACGGCCCCCTCTCCATTCGCAACTCATGCATGACGATTGCTTTCCTCCCTCCCTGGACCCAATCCGGGCGAGCTCCGTTTCTGTCGAATATTATGTTCGGAACCCTTACGCATCGGATTTCAAACGTTTCGATTGATTGCTGTAGATGTTTTAATGGGGCCTCATTTCTAGATCGGTGCTTTGCTGTTGAGCAGGGCTGAGAGTCAGGTAGTGCTCTCCTCTGCAGGACCACCAATATGGGACGTCAAGGGTGTGCATCAGGGGGGGGCATCAAGGGAGGGCATCAAGGGGGGGGCGTCAAGGGTGTGCATCAAGGGGGGCGGTTAAAGCGCGCCGTTAAATGGCGCAGGGTGGTTGCACCCCTCGACGCCCGTTTCTGGGTGTCTACAGACCTGGCACTGTGGCCCTACACTACTGTGCTCCAGTCTTCAGAACGGCGCTCTCGCTCCAGCGCGGGCCACAGTTCTGGATCCGGCTCATTCCTTGTCGTCGTCGCCTTCCTCCTTTCCACTCCTCCGCCTTCCGTTGGTCCTCTTGCTCTTCTCGCTCCTCTCACTCCTGCTGCTGCGGCTGTTCCTTCTCTTCCCCCGTCCTCTTCTTCCTCCTGGCCATCCGTCTGCTCATCCGCCCCTCCCCATTCCAATGTGCACAGCTCCCCTTCCTGATTGCACGCGACTCGAAGGGGCAGTTTTCTGGGGTTCCAGGTCCGCTATGGCACCCGTCGGCAGATAGAGAACGAAATCAGTGCAATGGGAAAAGATGTGCGGGAGGGGTGGCATGCCAGATGGTGCGTGAGCGAGCCTACCTAGCCCTTGCTCGTCTCTCTCTTGCGCCTTTTCCCCCTGTCCGCTAGCAGCCCCCAGAGTCGGGCACAACTTCCGACTTCATCCCGCCACATTTGCCTTCCGACCCCACTCCCCCCTCCAAGCTCCACTCGATTCCCCATGGGCTTCTTACCTGCCCGCTTTTCGTCGCTCGCTGGTCTAGGGCCCGATATATATATATATATATATAGATATATCCAGAGAACCGCGGTCTCCCCTCGCCCATCAGGGAGGAGCAGAGGAGGGGCCGAGAGGAAGGGAGGGTGCTTGGAGAGAGGGGACAACCGCCCACCCCCCCGCAGGACGAGGATGACGAGGACGAGGACGAGCCGGACAGCGGCCGCGGCGACCGCCGCGACCAGGAGCGCGACGACCGCCGCGACGACGACCGCGACGACCGCCGCGAAGAACGCCGGGAGAGCCGTCGCGACGACCGCCGCGACGACCGCCAGGAGGGCCGCCGCGAGGACCGCCGCGACGACCGCGGCGGTGAGCGCCGCAGCGACGACCGCCGTAGCAGCGACCGCCGCGACCACGACCGCCCTGACGACGACCGCCGCACCGACGACCGCCGCGGCGATGACCGCCGCGGCGACGACCGGCGGCGCGACGAGGCGTCGGACAGGCGGAGGGCGCGGGAGGACGAGGAGAGGTGCCCCCTTCCTGCTGCAGAGAGGGGGTACACACCTCAGGAGGTCCGCGCAGATCTCATGGGCCGGTGACGGATGCCTCTTCCCCTTTCCCATGCGCCGGGGAAGGGGTGTGGGGAGAGGGGTTCAGCGAATGGCCAATGCGTTTGCGCGGGCCTCCGTAGTGATACTTGTAGCAGTAGTAGAAGTGGTAGTAGTAGTCGTAGTGAAAGTCACAGTCTTAGATGTAGTCGTAGTGGTGCCGGTGGCCCATGTGCAATACACCACGTCGGTTTGGCCTTCCCAGAACAATTTGTATTGCCAATTTGAAGGCTAGTATCCTTTAATTTGTTGGTACTACATACTTATTCCTCTCATCAGGTTACGTCCTCTATCCCGATCTATAAATGCTACTGGGTAAATTCGTGTGCGGACGCGCGATTGCGCGCTTACGTTGTTCTCCATTCTGTACAAGTTAGATTATTTGGGGTGCTTGCCAGCGCGTCCCCCCTGCTGGAGCTCAGCGGCGGATGATGTGCCCAAGTGTGTGAGTTCATTGGCACGTTTGTTCTGTGCGTTGCTGGTGTATCGATTGACCTGTCCCGTCACTCTGGTGTATCCATGGTTGAACCGTCCGAGTGGTGTATAGAGTACCCTGCCCTTTCCCGCCTGGTGTATATTCATACCTGTCCTGTCATGCCGTTCATTGTTTCGGCTTGTCGTCCTGATTTTTCTGGGCGGGGTATACACCAGTGCGGGGGTAAGCACCAGTGCGTCTTGCCTCAATCGACACGTCATCCCAATGCCAGCTGAACACGACCCTCGGGACTTGCTGTGGGCTGTGAGGAAGTCCGAAGTGAGGAGAGAGTTGGATGGGTGAACCGCGATTGCCCTGAGGTTGTGTGTAGTAGAAGCCGTAGTCGTAGTAGTAGCTGTTGCAGAAGAAGAAGTGTAGTTAGTGAACAGTCGCATTTGCTGCAGTAGCAAGATACGTAACTCTTCACGCTTCGCGTGCCCCCACCAGCCATTCAGAAACTCGGATTCCCGAGAGCTGACGGCACGACGAGGCAGATATAGTGAAACGAAGCGGACAACCAGAGTGAACAGAGAGATTTTGGGGGGCAAGGGGGTAGCCTTGGAGGGCCTCCTCGGGCCGTCCTTGGGGCCCCTTGTGGGGGCGTGTGAAGGAGGAGGAGGAGGAGGAGGAGGAGTAGGAGGAGTAGGATGAGGAAGACGACGACGACGACGAGGAGGAGGGCGAAGAGAAAAAGGAAGACGATGAGGGCAAAGACGAGATAGGAGGAAGAGGAGGAGGAGGAGGGGAACAATGAGGACGAGGACAGAGCCCTCAGATCGTCTCTTGGAGCCCTCTTGGGACTCTTTGGGGGGATCATGGGGTCCTCTTGAGGCTCTTTCGGGCGGTCTTGGGGCCCTCTTTGGGCCTTCTTGGAGCCCTCTTGGGGGTCCCTTGGGAGCCCTGGAGGGCCTCTTAGGGGCCATCTTGGAGGCCATCGAGCAAAAGGGGCGGCCTCAAATTTCCCTCCCCCCTGGGGCCATGAACATCGACTTTTAGGGGCTCTCTTGGGACGCCTTTGGGCCCACCTTGGGCGCTCTCGGGGCAGTTTTGGGGGGCACTCGGGCCCCACTTGGGGCTCTCTTGGGCCATCTTCGGACAACCTCGAGGCCTCAAACGCGCATCGGAAGCGAAACAGAGAGAAGGCACATGTCGTTGATGTGTCATCTGTGTGTGAAGGGTATTGGCCTCTTGGGGGGATCCTGATGGGGCTCCGAGAGCACATGAAACAGTATTGTGGCGCTCGGCGGGCCTCTTGGAGGTATGTCAGAAGCTATTTTGAACCATCTTCGCCTGTCTCAGTCCGCTTTGGAGGCCATCCTTGAGCATCGGAGGCCCTATTAGGGCCACCTTGGGCGAAACATGACCCCCTGACACATTGCGATTCCCCCCGAATGAACCTCAGGGAGGGGAGGGGGAGGGGGGGGGGGGTACCCCGACATCGCTCGACCACCTTAGCCCGAAGGGCTGGAGGGATATACGTAACAGTAGCGGCAGTCGTGATAACGAGCTTCGTGTTGCCAGCCAGTGTATGGGAGGGGTCGCGGGTAATGGGTGAGGCGAAGATGAGGCGGATGGGGATGATGATGCGGAACGGGAGCAGCACAGGAACAGGAGGGGCGGAGTAGGACAATCAAACGTAGGGGTCCGAGCCCGATGCAGAACACCAGAGGGTGTTGTTTATCGGGTTGCCCAGGGACTTGTCTTTTGAATGTCCAGCCCCGTTTTCTTCCCATGGTGTTTTGTCAGGTGCCGTTTCCGTTGTGCTGTCTGGGGGGGGGGGCATCTGCGGGGGGGACACCTCCACGCATGTCGATGAGCACGCACTGGAGCTGGTTCAGGGACCTCTATCACAAGGATTGTTGTGTGGAGGGTGCGCTGCGCGCGTTTCAGGAACAGCAGGAGGAGAGGGAGGTGGACAGCTGGCACGGCCTACAATTACAGCTCAGATGTGCTATTGTCTCGGAATGGTGCTCTCGCCTGAGCGTTGGCTACATCCCTGGTCGACAGCGGTGCTGTCGCGCATCGCTGTTGAGGAACTGTGCTGTCGCTGGAGTATTGGGCGCACTGTTGATTGGCAGTGGTCCTCTCACCTCAGCGGTTGCCACGTGTCTGTCCAGGTATGGCGAGCGCTGGCCACATCCCCAATTGAGAATGGTGTTGTCGCCTGAACGCCATTCACGTTCCTGATTCGGCATGGGGTTGTCGCCTCTGCGCTGGCCACGTGTCTGACTGGGTGCTGTGCTGCCGCGCGAGTGTCGGCAACTTCGCTGATTGCGAATGGTGCTGTCACCCGAGCCTCAGCCACAATTATCTGCTGGAGCGCGTCATGCTTGTCTTCATGTTGAAGGGGTTGTGCGCGTTGTCGGGGGGGGGTGTCCTGAATTTGTGTTTAACCCTTTTACCATGTGACAATATTCACATTCAGGAAAGACGCGGAACTCCAAATGAATATGTTGCAGTGCGGGGGCGGTTGAATGCAATTATCCAGAGAGACACACAGAGATAGACAGACGCGAACCATCAGGAGAGTGAGGCAACATTCCCATGTTTGCAATGCACAGACACCTTACAACTACTTGTCATGCATCAGTGGCATCACGTCAAACACTTTTCATGATGTGGTTCCTAGTATGGTCAAAGCGGACGGCGAGACTATGCACGACAGACATCATCTGCAGTCAGTTGCAGACTCATCTGCCGCAGTCTACGAGAGTTTATACCAAGGCACCAACTGAGAGGCACAACCGACACGTGACTCCCAGTCACATGTTCTGAATTCGACCTCGCTCTTCGACAACTCTCATCAAATCGAGTGGCTGACCCTGAAGACATCACAGGAGCAATTCTTGATGCTCCGCGTATCTCCACCAGCCCATCCAGAAACGATGCCCATGAGAGCTGACGGGGGGAGAGAGGAAGAAGCACGTATAGTCAAACAACAAGGGAGGCCGGCTTGGACGGCGTGTTGTTTGTTTCTCCTCTCAGGATTTTGGCGTCTTGGCGGCCTCCTGGGGAGGCTCCGTGGCCATCTCGAGCCGTCTTGGAGCGATCTTGGGGCCTCTTGGAGCATCTTGGGGGCCATCTTGAGCCAGCTTGGGCTATCTTCAGCCATCTTGGAGGTCAGATTGGGCTCTTTGAGGCCGCTCGGGGTCCTCTTGGGGGCCTCTCGGGGGCCTCTTGGAGGCCTCTCGGGGCCTCTTGGGGCGCTCGTTGGACCCTCTTGGGGGCCTCTTGGCAGCCCTGGAGGGCCTCTTGGGGCCATCTCGAAGGCGGTCGGTCAAAAGAGGGGGGTCCTCGATGTGCGTACCTCTTCGGGGGCCACGATCCTTGTGAGGGGTGTCAAACATTGGCCCTCCCACTGGCCGAAAACGCCTCCGACATCTCGCGAAACCTCCAAACTACCTTCAGGGAGGAGGGGGGGGGGCCCCCTCCTGGAAGGGAAGAGGGGTTGTGGAAGAAAATTGAGATCACCCTTGGACCACCTGTCGCCCAAAGGGCTGGTGGGATTTCCAAGGTTGGAAGGCGAGCCGTTACAAAACGTTCTTTTCAGTCGCAACAACAGAATCACGAGACGTGCGGCACCGACGCCCGTCTGTTGGAAGAGCACCAGCAATCAAGTGATCCACAAGGGCGGGATTTTTCAGCTACCACCGAAGCTACGAACGCATCGCGACCATACACTTGTTGAATAGTATGCTCTCGATACTTCGAAACAGCCGACTACACAGCAGCTTCGACCCCCAGTCGGGCAATGGCCAGGCCACTTTCCGACTTCACCGCGGCACGTGCGACCAGTTCTTCACAATCACGTTGGATAGACACAGCCGCGGCCGACACCAATAAAGCATCAGACGCAACCCTTGCTAATCAGGGAGCGCCGGCTGATTACATACAGCGATTAGCCAAACTTTACGATTCACGGATTACTCTGCGACCGCCTAGAGACATTCCTCGACCCCCAGCAATCACCAGACTAAGTTGGCTTTCGGAAGAACTTCAGCACAGAAGACCACCTCTTCACTACAACAATGCTGCGAATGGCAATTCAATGTGTGGGCAGTTGCGATAGACTTCAAACAAACATGTGACTGCATCGACCGTCAGTGCTTGTGGGCAGCACTACGGGAACAGAGGTGTCCAACGCCACACATCACATTGCTGCAGAAGTTCTACAGCGAGCAGACGGGCACAATGAGGACCGACGTCAACAGCAGATACTTCAACATCGAGCGCGGCGTCAAGCAGGGTGACCCACTCAGCTCGTACCTGTTCAGCGCAGTGCTCGAGCACGTGCTCCGGAAAACCAGGTCTGTTTGGAACAGACAAGGTTTTGGCATGCAAATGAGGCACACGAGGGCTACTCGTCTGACCAAGCTGCGGTTTGCTGATAGCGTCTTGCTTTCGGCGCCCAATTTGCGACACATCAAGTGCATCCTACGTGACCTCAAGCACGCGGCCTCCGCATGCGGACCAGAGTTACACCAAGACAGAACCAACAACCAACATCCTCACACATACGAGCCGACAGCGCGGACGAACGACGACACACGCTGACATCGACGGTGATAACGTCGAAATTTTCAGCTCCGAGCAGAGCACGAAATACCTTGGCCGAAAGCTGACACTACACGACTACCACTGCGCTGAGCTAACAGAATTGCCGTGGGATGGTGGAAGTTCCACCAACTCCGCGGCGAGCTGACTAGCCAACGGTGCCCCTTGCACAGCAGACTCCGGCTATTCAATGGCACGGTGACGCTAAGCGTGTTGTATGGTTGCACCTCGTGGGCCCGAACCAAGGACATGCACTTGACACTGCGACGCACCCAACGACGCATGCTGCGACTCATTGTGAACTCGCCCAGGCGCCGAACACCAGCAATACGCAGCACCGACACCAGTAACGACACAAACTCCGACCTAGGTCAGCGCGACGGCAGCACGAGCTCAAGCGACAGCACGAGCAGCAACGACGCCAGAGTACAGCCTCACCGCAACGTCGTCGAAGACGGCTCCATCCCAGAACCGTGGGAGGATTTCAGTCGTTGGGCTACCTACACAGTCGAAGAATTAGCGAAACGCTTCAAGGTAGACGATTGGACGACCCTTTACCACAAGCGCAGATGGCGATGGGCAGGGCGAATCGCAGAGCAACCCCACCACAGATGGACCAAACTTGCTGCAGCGTGGAAACTCGAAGTCCACGACACCAGACCAGCGATACGCAGACAAGGAAGGCAGCGAAAGAGTTGGCATGACGACAAATCACAGTTTGCACGATCTACCACTGGAGACAATCTTGTGACGTGGTTGGATCTCGCTGACGACCCGACATCGTGGAACAACTGGGTGAAGCACTACCTCGCGCACGCGCGCATCTGAACGGGCCCCGGCCCGCCCACGCCGCTCCCAAGGGGCCCGCCTGCCGGCGGACAGGCGTGTCTTGTCTTGTCTGGTCTTGTCTACGATGCACGGACAACCGCAGTTTAGACAGACAAGTCGAGAAGAAAGCTCCATATACAGGGGCACAAAACAGGGTGACCCCTTGAGCTGGAAAATGTTCAGCTGCCTGTAGCAGCATACCGAGCGCAACATCAAGCATGGCCTTCCGAACGGACAGGGCTCCTTTAGAACTTGGGTATGGATGACCTACCAACATCCGTGTTCCAGACGAGAACATATTCTTTGTTGGGTCTTTACGGTGCACCGCAGGCATGCTGGAATATTGAGCGAGCAGGCTTTACCTATTCGGACCCGATTGCAGCTGGATTAGAGACCTGCTATCCGCTTGCAAAGGCAGGGTACCCGGCAACATAATGGCCAACGGAATGTTTGCCAACATTACGCCGCCGCACCACGCTACGACATATGTTGGGGCAGATTTTCATTTCAGCGAGCTTCACACCACGGCCGTATATCGACTGTATGGAACAGGTCTCGTGCCTCCGATACAGCTGGAGTCGATTGGGAAGCTGACTTCAATCAACAAACGAATCTGGCTATTTCATGGGACTAGGTCTGGCTATGTTGCACGGCTGTGAGATGCCGGTTTGAGGACACAACGCCAGCTGTTGCGCATGATGTTGTGCGCAACCATTCGCAGAGACCAGCAACAAGCCGACCTTGAGTCGCAACCTCGAGATATTTTCGATCCATGGATGAATTACATTCGACGCTCTACCAAGAGAGCCGAAGAAACGACGGAAAGTAATACAGTCCGAGATGTGGTATCGGTGCTACGCCAGCGACAACGGATACAGACCAAACAAGTGTGCAGTTCGGAATTGCGCGACTGGACATCACGAGTGCTGCGATACGGAAGTTGAGCATTGGATTCCCACGATATCGTTTGTCGCTTTGTCAATCGGTTCAGGATTTGCAAATTGTCATGTCTTGGTTGGCTTCTGTTTCGGCCTCTCGCATGTCTGACATGGCTGGCGTCACGGCGTCCACCTGCGATGCCCTGGCCGGTGGCAGCTGCGAGTCTGATGTTTTGGAGTATGACGCAGGGCTGAGTGTTTGGCGAGTTTTTTGTTTGTTCGTTTTTGTTTTTTGTTATGTGTTTTCGCAAGAGACGTCTGCAAACATTGGCACTTGCAGACAAGAGCAGCACGGAGGAAAAGGAACCTCTCAAACGGCCGGTCATCACCAGCATCAGCAGCAACACCACCGCCGTCACCAATACCATTTTCTGATCATCCCTCTTATTCGCTTGTTGTTTCTCCCTCCCCATAGTTATGTAATCCCCTCCTCTCCTTCCTCGGCTCTCTCTCTTCCCTCCCCTCGGCTTCCCGCTGGCAGAACATGGTTGGATAGCGTGCACCCTTGAGGTACGATGGCGACAACGACCGGCGAGATCACCGGGGCTACAGCCGCCGAGATGAGTCCATAGAGAGGGACCCCAAGAAGTACAGATAGCCTCTCTGCGCCGCCGCTCGAAGCAGCATGCCCTGGGCAACGCATTTGCGCGGGATCTTCGGCCAGGGGTTGTTTGGTCAATGGGCGTCGCTCGTCTTGTTCCCACTGCTTGTCAGTGAGCCCAGGGGAATCAAGGAACATGAGGAGCAGGAGGAGGAGACGGATGAGCAGGCGGAGGAGGAGATGGAGAGGGAGGAGAGAGGATGAGAAGGATGTCGATATTTGTTGATGTAGGTGTGGCGTTGTGAATGATGATGATTGTGATTCAAGTTCTGATGATTTTGAGGATGCTGATGATGCCGCCATCGGCAGAGGGGCAGGGTCGTTGCTCAACCATCATCGTAGCATACGCTGGGGACCATGCGCAGGCGCTGGCACCTGGTCCCTTGCGATTCGCGTTGGCGTGGGTGGGTGGGGAGCGGGGTAGACGATAAACCTCAGAGTTCTTCTAGGTTGTTGATGTCGGAGCTCGTGGGTCGTGTCCATGTCTCGGGTGCCTTGGTTGGGGAAGCCCTGGACGGCAGCGGCCAGTTGTGTATGGTTGAGAGTGAACGCCTTGGTCCAACCTTAGCCGCCGCCTATACGCTGCGGGGAAGTGGCACGAAGCGGCTCGGTCGACCAAGGAAAGGGCGGAGGCCAAGCCGTGTCTGAGTGGTGCAGGTAAAGACAGTGAGCATCTTATACCTCGTCAAAACATAACGCACTTGGGGCCTCTGGCCATGGTCAAGCTGTTGGGAGCGGGCTTCGAGAAGCAGCTCGTTGCGCAGGCCCGTGCGCATTTCTGTGCTGACCGTGAGCTCGACACGCGAGCGGGCAGTAGCGAGAACGCTTTGCTGTACGGCGAGTTCGGGAGCGGAGGAGCGCCCGCGGCGAGTGCTGAACATTTCGGATCCGAAGCCACCACGCAGTAGCCGCGGTTGGACAGTAGCGAATCCCACGCCCAGCGGCACAACATAGCTACCCGGGCGCACTGGCTTCTTGACGTGGAGCAGGCGGGGTTTCCCCCTACCGCGTCTCAGCAGCACGGTGCTACGGCTCTGGTGGCCTGGCTCATTGGGCGTGTTGCAGGACGGCTTGCCATTGAGTGCGACAAGGTGATATGGGCACCTTGGCGGCGTCCATTCGTCTACCTTACTCTTGGGAGCAACCTGGAGCATGCTATCACTGCGAAGTTGCCATTCCGAAGGTTGCCCTCTGGACACTGCCCAGACTTGCGCACCGCCAAGTGGGGCCGATCCGTCATCCTCCCCCCGCGCGCAGAATTGCGCGGGATATTTGGGGGGAGAGGAGGAGGGTGGGCGGAGGAGGAAGAGGAGAGGAGAGAGGCAAACTGTGTGCGCGCGCAACATCTGACATCCGATCCTTCCCATCCCTCCCCAGTGCGCTAATTTTCCCTGTATCCGCGGACGCGTGCCAAAGCCGATCTGGAATTCCATCTTCCCAGGAAAGCACCCGAATAGCAATAAAGGTAACCCGTGCGACCTGTGGGGCAGGTGGGAATTGCGGGAGTTGCGCGATCTGTGAGACTTGGGAAACCAGTGGGACTTTTGTTTTCTGTGGGACCTGGGTGAGGAAGAAGGAGGACAAGAACGAATAGCAGCAACATAATTGAAGTTGAAGGAGTGGGAGGAGCAGGAGGACCAGGGGAAAACCGAGGAGGGGAAATGATGGGGCGACAACGATGAAAAAGGATTGGGATCCGGAAAAAGCAGGCCTCGCTGGGGCGAGAGCGCTAGTCTGATCGACGGGAGCACAGCGCCGATCCGAAACTGAGGCTCACCCTGCAGCGGAGTGCCGTGTTGAAGCAGCGAAGACAACTGGATGTTAGAAACGGATAGGAACAAGACAATCTCTGAACGCCTGTGTGCCACACACAGGACGCTGAGAGGGCCGACCATCATCCGCACATGGCCAGGGAATAGATGAGAGTAGTATAGACAAGCCAGGTGCGCTCGCGCAACATCTGACATCCTACTCCATCCTCCCATCCCTTCGCACTGAGCTGATTTTCTCTGTATCCTGGGACGCTTGTCATAGCTGACATGGAGCTCCGTAGCAGCAAAGGTAATTTGTGGGACCTGTCGGGCAGGCGGGAATGGTGAGACTCGTGCGATGTATGGGACGTGCGAAACTTGTGAGACGTCTGTGGCCAGTGGGACCTATGTGACCTGCGGGGCAGGCCTGATGGACCTGTGGGGCAGGTGGGAACTGTGAACCTGTGGGACCTGTTGGCCCTGCGGGACCTGTGGGACCTGTGCGACCTGGGGGACCTCTGGTGCCTTTGAGTCCTGTGAGACCTGCCGGACCTGTGGGACCTGCGGGACCTGCGGGGCTTGTGAGACCTGTGGGACCCCTAGGACCTGTGGGACCTGCGAGACGTGCGAAAGACGAGGCGGAGGAGGAGGAGGAAGAATAACGCCACAGGGAAACCTTCAGTCGGTCTAACGTGAAAGGAGCAGGAGGAGGCATGGGGAGGGAGGGGGAGGGGGGAAAGGCGGAGAAGGATGAGGAGGAGGAGGATAAGAGAGGAATCAGGGGGAGAAGGATGAGGAGGATGAGGAGGAGGAGGGAAGAGGGGGGAGGGGGGGGGGGGGGGGAGGAGGAGGAGGAGGAGGAGGAGGAGGAGGAGGAGGAGGAGGAGGAGGAGGAGGGAGGAGGAGGAGGAGGAGGAGGAGGAGGAGGAGGAGGAGGAGGAGGAGGAGAGGAGGAGGAGGAGGGGAGGAGGGAGGGGAGGGGGGGGAAGGAGGAGGAGGAGGAGGAGGAGGAGGAGGAGGGAGGAGGAGGAGGAGGAGGAGGAGGAGGAGGAGGGAGAGAGGAGGAGGAGGAGGAGGAGGAGGAGGGAGGAGGAGGAGGAGGAGGAGGAGGACGACGACGACGACGACGACGACGACGAGTTGGAGAGCGGAGGGTGGAGAGGGAGGAGAGACGAGGGTCGAAGAGGAGGAGGAACGACGACGACGACAACGACGTCGACGTCGCGGATCGCCCCAAGCTCGGCAGCCCCGCGCCCTGGATCCCGCGGGAAGCCCTGCGGCGCCCTGCCGAGGGCGGCGCGCGCGTCCCCGAGGCTTGCGCGGGCTGGCGGCGCGGTATGATATTGCTCGCGGGAAAGGCTCCCTGGACGGTTGTCCCTCGCGGGCGAAGCGCCGCACTGCCGATGCATCGGCGAGGAGGAGGAGGAGGAGCAGCAGCAGCAGCAGGAGGAGGAGGGTTGAGGGGGGAAGGGGGGGAAGGACGAGGAGGAGGAGGAGGAGGAGGAGGAGGAGGAGGAGGAGGAGGAGGGAGAGGAGGAGAAGGGAGAGGAGGAGAAGGGAGAGGAGGGAGAAGCGGAGGGGGAGGAGGAGGAGGACGGGGCTCCTGCCACGGAGGGCGCCAGCGGCGGGGCAGGCTCGCGCCGCGTGGGCGCGGCGGCGAGCCCGAGCGCGGGCAATCCTGGTCGTGCTCCGCCAGTGGGCCTGGAATCTGCCGGCATGGTCCAGTTTACCAGCCTGGAACATATCCCTATCCTTATGCTGGGCATCTCCTCATCACGATGCCAATCTTAGGGATTCCCTGATTTTTTGGGGGCGAATCCCTAAGATTGTCATCGCCTTTTGGCGTGCCGATCTTAGGGATAGGGATACGTTCGAGGCCGGTAACCAGTCTGCGTTTTTGGGACAGCCGCGGTATGCTTGCTCGCGGGAAAAACCGGCGGCCAAATCCGAGGCCTACCCTTGCCGATCCACGGCTCAGGCAACTCGATGGGCGGCGGGGGCAGGGTTCGGAAGTCGTCGACCACGTGGCGAAGTCCGAGCCCTACCCCCGCCTCCCATCGATTCAGGAGAATCGATGGTTGGCGGGGGTCGCGTTCGGATGTCGCCTCCTAAATTAATTTCATCTCCTTCCACGGAGGGCGCCAACGAGGACGTTCCGTGTAGACTTCGTCGCATCTCGCCTTGAGTTGAAGCCGGCGGGAGGCCATCGGAAGCCGGTGGACGTAAAATGACGGCGGGTTCGCCGGCGTCCACTATCTGGAAGGGTGGTGGGAGCAACAAAAATGGTTCCTGTCGCGAAAGGCGCCAGCTATTCCCTGACCTTCAACGTATCTTAAGGTGATGCGGAATTTTGTCGCCTTTTCAGCCTCGAGTGCCCTCGCTGGGCAAGGGCTGCCAGATATCGACTCAGCATGAAAAACCATCCACGGGGAAGGGTCCAGATTTTTTGGGCTTCGCCTTGGACGCATTAAGAAAACGGACCGCTGGGCGCACACATGCACCGATCCTGGCCAGACCGATGAATACGCCAACCTTTACCAGCCTGGATCATATCCCTATCCCTATGCTGGGCATCTCCTCATCACGATGCCAATCTTAGGATTCCCTTATTTCTTGAGGGCGCATCCCTAAGATTGTCAGCGCTTTTTGGCGTGTCAATCTCAGAGATAGGGATGCGTTCGAGGCCGGTAAAGCCTGGCGTGGCCAGGGAGGCAGAGGCGCCGGTCCTGGGTGCAGGATCGGCCCGGCCAGGGTCGGTACAGGCCTCCGAACGTCGCCCCCTCCCCCCCCCAGTCGCTTCGCCTGCTGGCAGTGACGCGCGCCCAGAGCGAACGAGTCAGGACCAGCGTGGACCCCGACTCGGGATCTGACTAGTCCTTTGCCGTCGTCGCGAAGCGTCCTGGCGTGCCTATAGTCCTACCAAACAATGTTCTAAGAACCTTTGGTCGTTCCCACGAAGTGTTCTTAGAACATTTCTGGCTGTGACTGTCCTGTTTTAACACATCGGGTGTATGTTCTAAGAACATTGCTTTGTGCTTCGGACATTCTTGCGTTCTAAGAGCGCAGGGGTGCCGCCCCCCCCTATCCCCTGGCAGTGCGCGCGTGTGCTCCCGCTCCTTTCGCGAGCCGCTCTGCGTCGCAGGATCTCAGTATCTGGGGTTCTTCATGTTAGCCGTTTACCGTCAGAGCATCTTCGGTCCTGCAAGGTGGTGTTCCCGTTGCAGCGCTGACCACACTTCAGGGTCGCCGCTTGCTGCCCGTCGTTCAGAATGGCGCTCTCGCCACGGGGGTCACTTTTCTGCCTCCGATTCCTCAATCGTCGATGCAGCCCCCCTCCCTTCCCCTCCTCCGCCCACCCTTCGTGTTCCTGCTCCTCCTGCTCCTTCTCCTCCACTCCTTTCGCCACCTCCCTCTGCTCTCATCCGCCCCCTCGCCTCTCCAATGTACTCCCTTGGGTGGATTGTGCAAAAGTAGCGATGAGCCAAATCCTGCAAACTGCCATCTGGGAAAGATCGTGTTCTGTGGTCGCTCGACGGGGAGGGGAGCTTGCCCCCCCCCTTCCCACCCAAACATTCTGGACGTCCGGAAATTGGTCCCTCCCTTGGAAAAGACGGGGTTCAACCGCCCCCCCTGTGGCGCTGGTCGTCGTCGGAGTCAGAGTCGGAGTCGGAGTAGAGGTCGCGGTCGTCGTCGTCGTCGTCGTCGTCGTCGCCGGACCACCCCTTGGCTCCTTCAAGCAACGTCGACGACGACGATGACCTCCCCCTTGGCGCCGGCAAACGACGACGACCAGCGCCAAGGGGGTTGGTTTGACCCCCCCCACGACGACGAGGACCGGTGCAAAGGGAGGGGGGGCCCAGGGGGTTGAAGCCCCCACACGACGACGATGACGACGGGCGCCAGGGGAGGGGGGGGTTAAACCCCAACCTCTCCTCGCGAGAAGGGGTTGGGGGGTTCAACCCTCTCCTCGGGGGGGTGTTGTGGGGGGGGGGTCCGTGCGAAGGGGGGGTGGGGGTCTGGTTCGCCGGGCGCTTGGGATGTTTCGGGCGGGGGGGGGGCAGTCTTCGACGTGCCGTCGGCGGCCAGAGAAGGACTCGACGCCACAGCGTGAAGCGATACGGTCGGGAAACTTCGGCTCGGCGGTGTCGCGCCGCCGGCTCTTGGCCTGGCGCGGCACGCTGTCCCTCTTCGCGCTCCCAAAGCTCAGGAGGGAGAGAAACACACAGACACAATGAATCGTCGATTTCCCAGAAAATCTGGGAAAACATGGGAAGTGGGGGGGAAGACAAAACCCCAGAAAATACGAGAAACTATGGGGGATCTGTTTAATTTGTGTGTATCTATTTGTGTGTCCCAGCGCCCATTCGAAAGCGTCCATGTGTCGTGCTTTTCCCAGCCTCCCGCCCCGCGATACGGAGCAGCACGCTATCCGCCAGCGTCGCCAGGGCCGCCGCCGTTGCGCGCGAAGCAGAAGTTCTCGACCGCAGGTGGGAGGCGGAGGGTGCCAGGTGTTGCGCGAGCGGACCTGACCTGCCCCTTCTTCCCGTTCCCTCTGCCCTCCTGCCTGCTCCCCATCATCCTTCCCTTCCCTCGCCTGGCCCCCTCCATCCCCCTTGTGCCCCCCTCCGCCCTCCCATCCCTCGAACAGCAAAACAGGAGGTGGACTTCGAGTTTCAAAGGTCCGCGTGGATCTCTTGGGACTGCGCCTGCGCTGGACCCCCCCCCAAACCTGGCGCTCGCGCTCGGGGCGCGCCAGGTGCGGCGCCGGAGGCGCCGCCAGCGGGGGGGGGCGCCCAGCGCCGACCAAAGAAGCCCGAGCGGACCTGCCAAAGTTGATGTGCACGCAGTTTCCAGGAGGGGGGAAAACACAGACACAATCAATGAACCGTCGATTCCCCAGAAAGTGTGGCAAATGATGGGGGATCCTGCTATTTGTGCGTATTGATTTGTGTGTCCCAGGGCCCCTTCAAGTTTGTTGTTCCCTCCTTCTTGTCTCCCCTTTCGTTTGCCCCCCCGAAAGGTTCCCCTCCCCCTCGCCTCTCAGCCGAGCGCCGTTCTGCGAGCTCCTCCTTCCCGCCGGCCCGACCCGCTTCCCCAACCCCCGCGGCCGGCCCATCCCACGAGGGCCGACCTCCGACGAGGACGCTTCGAGATCCCCGTCCCACCTCGTCTTCCTCCCCTCCTATGCTGGTCGTCGTTGTCGTCGTCTCCCTCTTAATCCGCCTCCTCATCATCCTGCTGCTGCTGCTGCTCGTCCGCCCTCCCCCCCCTCTCATCCCTCATGCGTTTCCTTCTGATTATCTTCTTTCTCCTCCTCCTCCTCCTCCTCCTCCTCCTCCTCCTCCTCCTCCTGCTCGTCGTTGTCCTCATTCTCCTCCTGCTGCTGCTGTTACCGCCGCTCCTGCTGCTGCCACTGGTCGTCCTCCTATTTCTGATCGTTCTCATCCTCCACCTCCACTACGAGACATTTGATTATGCCCGATGGGAAAATGGGAATGCACACGCAGCGATCGTTGAGACCTTTCTGCATTGTTGCATTCCGAGATTCGATCCAGAACGAAGCTTCCATGCCGAGCGAGATCGCCAATCGGTAGCAACTTCGGCACAGGCCGTCTGCCCCGTACATATAATACCTGCGTATATCTCTAGGACCTTACCGATTCACCCGCCCCCTGGCCATGACGGTGGACTTGCCAGTGTCCACAATGGCCATGGTGGTGTTGCTGGGCCCCGCCGTAGTGCTCTGGGCGATCGTCGAGGCTGCCACGCTGGCGCAGCGTGCGGTAGGCAAGGAGACGCCGTCCTTGGGACCGCTGACCGGCGAGAAGATGCTGTCTCTGCTCCGCTGCAGCTCGATCCTCGCCGGGGTGCTCTTCTTGTGCTACTTCTGCGAGCACCTCATGTGGAACCAGCCGGCCGAGAAGGTGGTGCGTCCCGAGATGTACTGGGGCAGTTTCGTCGTACTCATTCTGGGATCGTTGTTAACCATCCGCAAGACAGACAGCAAAGACTTCATGAACCGAGAGCAGACGGAGGAGTGGAAGGGTTGGATGCAGTTCCTCTTCTTGCAGTACCACTACTGGAAGATGGAGGACGCGTACAAGGACATCCGCGTCTACATCACATGCTATTTGTGGATGACGGGCTTCGGGAATTTTTCTTTCTTCTACGTGAAGCGAGACTATAGCCTCCTGCGTGTCTTGCAGATGATTTGGCGAATGAATTTCTTTGTAGTCTTCCTGTGCCTGACCATGGACAATCCCTACATCGTGTACTACATCTGTCCTTTGCACACGTTCTATTTCCTTGTGACTTACGCGACCATGGTCGTCTGGTCCGAGGTGAACCACCGTCAGTACGCACCAGTGTTCAAGGTGATCACGTGTGCTGCCTTGCTGTACACTGTGTACGACCTCATTCCCAGATCCTTCGACGTCTTCTTCTACTGGCTCGGCAACAAGTCAACTGGTGCGCCGATCGGTGCTCACGGCGTTGAGTGGGAGTGGTATTTCCGCAGTTTCTTGGACCACTTCTCAACGTGTTGGGGGATGGTCTTCGCTCTAAACATGCCGTTTCTTGCGGAGTGGTTCAAGAAGGTGGAGAGTTTCTCGTTGGCTCGCGAGTGGGGCATCAAGGGGATCGTTGGGGTTGGGCTCTTGGGGATGAGCGCCGCCTGGGCAGCGAACATTTACACCCGCGACAAGAGCGGCTACAACGCCCTCCACTGCTATTACGCGGTCGTGCCCCTGCTTACGTACTTGTTCCTCCGAAACATTTCAAAGACTTTCAGGAGCTACTACCTCCACGGCCTGCATTGGTTCGGCACTATCACGCTCGAGTCGTACCTCCTTCAGTACCACGTGTGGCTCGCCGACAACGCCGCCAAGCTGTTGAACATCATAGAGGGCCAGTGGCTCCTCACCTTTGTGATTGCCTCGGTCCTGCACGTGTTCCTCGCCACCCAGGTATTCAACATCACCAATAAGCTCCGCAGCTTAGTGCTTCCGAACAATCTGCCGGAGGCACTGCGCAATCTGGCATTGCTCATGGGCGGCGTGTTCGCCAGTTTCCTGGTGGCACACGGCTTCAGCCGCAGCGGCCTGGGGGCAGGCTCTTTGTGCTTGGTCGTGCTGGCAGTCACCGCCAGCATCGTCGGCGCGCTCTGGATGGCGTCGGAGGTGGGGCAGCGGAGCTCGAAAGTCTTCGAGGCGCAAGCGACCATCCCTGCACAGGTGTGCTTCGGTGTCGCTCTTCTTGGCTGCATGTTCGCGACCCACGGCCTGATGGGCTACAGCAGGGAAGCGGGCGCCACCGTGCACCTCATGGCAAACGAGCGGAGCGCGGCTGCTCGGCTGACGAGCGCGTCTGGCCTGGAGATGTCCATGGATAAGCCTGCGGCGGTAGTCTTGGCGCGCCAGCTTGACCACTACGAGCTGCTGGACTCCTTCGTGGAGGGCCGCGCGCACGCGTTCGAGATCGGCTCCCTGGCGCAGCCGTTGCACGGACTCGTGGCGATGGCGGCCCTGATCTGGTGCATCGCTTGCAGGGACTCCTTCTTTGGATTGTCGCGCCTGGCGCTGGCGCTCGTGGCCCCCGAGGGGCAGAAGACCATCACGTGGGACGAGGCTTGGCCTACGACCAAATCCTTCCGCTCCCTGCTCCCTGCACCGACCCCCCGAGCCTCAAGAAATGCGCCAAACCCTCCATCACCCCTTCGACCTCTGGTAAACTGCCCCAGCACCCTGTGTTACCATCCTTCTTCTCCCTCCGCGTGGGACGAGGCTTACGGCCCGATCCTGCACAAGCTCGGCATCCGCAAGCCGGACGCAGAGGAGGCTGGCCTCACCGGCGAGCCGCCGAACGAGCGCACGCCGCTGACCGCCACCAGCGGCGGCAAGGAGAAGTAAGGTGACCCCGAAGGGCAGAGGACCATCACGTGGGACGAGCCCGCGGCCAGGTCCTGCCGCCGACCGCCGGCGGCGGCAGCAAGGAGAAGCGCTGACATATTGTTGGGCGGCGTTCGTGCATGTCCTAAGCTCCAGTCCTCTTGAGTGGGCCCAAATGGGGTTGGGGCAGATCACGTCCGCAAATCAAGCATGACCGATGCATCGGCGATGCAACGTGATCCAGAATCCAGTTCTTTCTATGCTGGCGTGGCCGATGCACAGTCGACGCATTGGCGATGAGATGCGATACGTAGACCCCATTTGCTCTTGCCTCATTTTAGATGGCTTCATCCTCTTGATACGTGCTGATCCCCTCCGTCCTCTCGTTGCTGGAGCCGTTTAGAGCACACGTGCAAGTGTAGGCCTTCACGCCTCCCCTCAAACGGAGAGTCGCGACTTGCCTCGACCAGTTCACTATTTGCATAGAATCTCCCAGGAACACC